ACGTCACCCTTTTTAAATCTCTATTTCCAAGTATAGTCACATTGCGAGGTACTGGGGTTAGGGTTTCAACGAGTGATCCCTTTTGGAGGGGGGACACAGTTCAGCTCATAACACGCACACCTCGTAACACCGTATGTCTCAGACTTAGAAATCTAGTATAAACCGGTTAGGATAGCAGATTTTCAGGTCAGCTCCAGGATCAAGCAGTGGGTATTAACGAGGCAGTCGTCTCCAGTTATTGAGGGTTTACACTGTGCCCGACGCTGTTCCTGGACTTCACATAAATCCTTGCTGCACTCTCAGCATGCCCTGAAATACCGAGAAAGTCAGGTCTAAACACGTCCTTCCTCACGTGCAGGTTCAGAGAGGTTCAGTCACTTATCCAGACTCACAAGGCCGAGCAGCGCACAGAGCCCCGCTGGCCCACGGCATTCTCTCTCTCTACTCCGCTCCGTTGCCTCTCCGTTCTCCATTTGTCACGGTTTTCACTTCCATTGGTCCAGCTGATCCCTATCAGTGTTCCCCATACAGCGTTCGAACGTCTACCACTTTGCGATGCTTTCGACTCCCTGGGGAACTAGCTTTCATCCGAAACGGGAGTATTGCCTTGTCGGACGTGGACTACCTTAACCAAACCTAAGAGTTTTATTTATGCTGCATATTAATGTTGTAGGCAAAGACTGATAAAATTAAGAACTTCGATTTTTTTCCAATTTCACAATAGAGCCTTTTGCAAATGCCACTTACTGCCATACGCCGAAGGAGCAAACAGCCTTAATAGTCGCTAATAGATAATGCCATGTAACGCTTGATGTCCTGTGGTCCAAAATCCCTTGATTCTCACAATTCAGGTTTTATAAAGTTAATTTCATACTTCGGTAATTCACTCAATTCAAAATTTGGAAGTACGTTCTATGCCATAGTGACATACATAGTTCAGTATTATCACTGGGTCTCCCTTTGGATTACAAAGCCGTTCTGAAAACAGTCTTTGACGCTCCGTGCTTCAGAGCTAAAAGCGCCCGGTCCTCTGCGGCCGCCACTAGCCACGTGGCCAGTGAACACGTGAAATTTGGCAAGTCCAAACTGCATATGAAATAAAAAAATATAAAATACACGTCTTATTAAAATGGATTTCACCTGTTCCTTCTTTTTGTTCTTTGATGTAGCTATTCCAAAACTTTAAAGTGCCGATTTTTCTCGGGGAGCACAGAGTCAGGTACCTGGCCGTGTCCCTGGCACTTGAGCGCAGGGCAGGATCTGGGATCAGGGCCGTGCACCCCGGGGAAGCAAGTGATTAACCAGACGCAGAAAGAACGTGAGAAGGTGTCAGCTCGCGGTCTTCCTTCTTAAATTTCTGTCCTGAGGTTTCATCACGTGCGTAGGATATAACTTAATACCGCAGTGTACAGAGCACGTCAACAGAGTTCCAAGCTCAAAAATGGCTCCCTTTCTGATGCAGACCTGTCATCAGAAACATCCCGAGCCCAGGCCAGAGTGGTCCTGAGTCTGACAGACCTGCGTTTAGATCCCAGCTTTCGCATTTACTGGCCATGTGACTTTGGACAAGCTGTTTCACCTCTCAAAGCCTCGGTTTGTAAAATCTGTCATCTAGTTTCTTCCTTAGAGGCCCGACCTGAAGGTTGCATGGAACAGGAGAGCCCGCGGTGGGTGTGAACCAGGCGGAGCGGGGTGCGCGGTCCCCGAGGTCCTCTCTGAGAGAGAACTAAGCGAAAGGACTTCTGTGAGGGGGTCACAGCCTGGGTCCCACCCTCCCCCTGCAACTCTGCTCCTCTCACGGGGTGGTCACAGGAAGCAGGAATTAGTGAATCTGCACAGACTGTGCAGAGTAATGACGTCCAGAGAATGGGGAGCGGGAGGCGCCTTGCGGAGGGGTTCCCCCCACAGGGCTGGCTGGTCAGTATCGACGTCTGCCATAAACTGGGGATTGCAAAGCCCACTTGAAAGCAAACTAGAACTAGCCAGTGGGGTGGGGCGGCCGGCCGCCGGGTAATCATCATCTGCCCTGTGAAAGGGTTCTTTTCAGTAATGGCTATTAAATTTCATAAACCGTAATCATTTTATGAAAGTTTAGTTGCAGAAACAACAGTTCCTCTCAGGAGGTTTTACAGATTAGAATGGTTTCCCCTCGATTTTCAAGTGTCTTGTGTGGAAATTAGAGTCCAGATGAGAATGCCCGCGGAGTGGCAGAGAGCTCCGTAAGGTTCAGCGACACGCCCATGGATCTCTGTAATGACCTCGACAGCGCCGACGATGCTGTCATGTAAAACAAAGCATTGTGTGTCTAACGTCACACATTTAACGAGTAACAGGCTGTAAACACAGTCACAGTGCAGAGAAGCGTGACCTGTTCTTTACAGTCTTGGACTTGAACTAATACATGTTGGCTCAAACAGTTACCGATTAATTCCTAAGGACACGCAGCTCCTGACCAGCTCTCACCAATAAGAAAGAGCAGGTGACAAATGGCCTCCACCCTGACGGACCTGCCCCTCCCCTGACACGACCCGAGTCTCCACAGAAATCAGTTCTGACTTCTGGAAAGCCTCTGTAAACAGATTCCTTTCATTCTGAACTAAATGGAATTAATTTTCATTCGCTGTCTTATTTGTGATCCTCGTAATGATCCCAGTTTACGGTGTGATGAGTGTGGTGAATATAATCCTGTGTCGGATTCCAGAAATTTGCCAAGAGAGCAGATTTCAGATGCTCTCATCACACAAAGACCCAGCACTGTGAGAAGGTATGCAAATGAGCTTGACTGTAACAGTTACTTCACAATGCATCTGTATATCAAATCGTCGTGCTTACACCGTAGGTATAATTTTTATTTAAAATATAATATTTGGTCTGTGTTCCTGAATAGTTTTCAGTTCTCCAAAGAAATATTTGATTCCTATAGCCATCATATAGAAGTAGAAAGTAGAAAAAAAAGGGTTTTAAAACGTGCTGATAACCGCCCTGAGCATAAGGTGGATGATTGTGTAGTACAAACATTTAGTTTCTGGGCATTTAGTATATTTAGCACACTACATATACTAAATATACTAAATATACTAAATATTTAGTATATCGACATACTAATTTCCTATAGCACTTTGTGGTTTGACTGCACTTCCAAGTGCATGTTTCATTTCGTCCTCCAAAATCGCTATGATTTTCATGAAAATACTTAAAATGACTGAAAAAGGAATTGGAAATAATAGCTGCCAATTTGGGGGAATCCGTTAAGTCTAGGGCCCAGCTAGCGATGTCCTTTACATGCATTAGCTCGTGTTTTCGTAATGACCCTACGGTCTAAGGTTTTCACGTGCGGAAGTTGAAGATGGTGATTTTAGCCACTTTCTCATTTTAGCCACTTTTCCCAAAAAGCACTTGAGCCTACATTTTTGTCTGACTTTAAAAACCATTATCCAGCTAAGAAATTTTTTTTAAAAAATATAAAATCGTTGATTTGTTTTTGTGACAAAACACCTAAGCCCCTTTGTCTCAATAGGCAGAGTAACGGAAGCTGTCAGAGGCTATGAGGTCTCTTGGTGTGCCTTCAAATGCCAGTTCCAAGGAAAACGAGACAAAAATTAATTTTGCCGCTTGGCCTGTTCTCTAGTTTGCCATTCTCCCTGTTGGCAGCTTTGGCATTTTATATCCCATAATGTCCTTCTCGAGAGCTGACCTGTCGAAGTCTGAAAATAATTTGGAATTTTCACTTTGGAAATGATCACCTGTTCTTTAAGACGTAACCGCCTAAACACCAGTAAAACTGTCTTTTAGAAGATACTGCTGTGTTGTGTTAGCATTGGCTGTTTTGGACTTTAAGAAGCAGTAAAAGTTTGGCCTGGATTCAGCGTTTATTAACCATGCCTTTAAATTGTTTGTCACGTTTACGTTTACCTAGTTTTTAGCTACTTGCTGCGCAGCTACCGAAGGAACCGCTTAGCACAAATGGAGCTGCAGAAGCTGTTGGCAAAAGCACGCGCTTCTAACGCAGTGTTGTGTAAACACCGACCCCAAAAACAGAGATGCCCACCCAAACTATACCGTAAACCCATAAATATGGTCTCAGTCAAGGACCTTACAGTTAAAAATAAAAGAGTCGGGGGCTGTAGCACCAAAGAGAAGCTACAAGCTCAAAGGGGAAAGTAAGGGGTGGCCCAGGGCGGTGGCGTGAACCGGCGTGAGCGTCGCTGACACCGAGCACCTGCCGCCGTGTGCTGGTCGCATCGCGTCGGGTACGTGTGGGGGTGTATGCACCCCCCCTCCACACACAGGCACCTACGGCCCTTCCGATCTTAATTTCAACCTTAAAAGATGGATTATCCCCCTTTCACTCCTGAGAAAACAGACACAGGGAGGTTTAGTAAGTGGCCGGACTCACACGCTCAGTGACACTGTGGATTTCAGTCCGCTTCCTTCCCGTGGCCGCCGCGTCTTTCAGAGCCGTCCACCTGCCACGGGTGTGATTGCGCGGTGTGATTTCAGATGACGCCAGGGCAGGCAGGCTTTACGGTGGTGATGCTTAGATTTTAAAGTTATTGTAAAATATAATTTGCCTACCAAGCTCGTGATTGTGTGAATATCGCTGCTGTAATTCAGTTATGATACATTTATTTTTGGTTAACATCGGGTCGCAGAGTAATATTAAGTCACTAACAGGAAGGTGGTGATCCAGGTGGCAGAGTCTTGAAAATGGCCCATAAAGGGCTGAAGTTTGGCATCCGCTGTGCTCAGTGTTTGTCTCACTGGTCAGTGAATCAGCCATTGCGTTTCATGGCCGAAAATAAAGTTTGATCCGGTGAATCTGAGAGCCGTGATTGGGCTTCACCCTGAGTTACAATGCCCTTCTACTAAACTCGATCCCTCGACTGTATTGAAAATTAGCTAATAAGTTTTGTATCATCATCAGGAAATTCCTTAGAATTAAACTAATAAAAAAGAAGGAGGAGGGAAAAAAGTAAGTTTCATTAAGTTAATACACTTTGAAGGAATAAAATACCTACTGGGTCCTTGGGCCAAGTATTACCTACTGCGTTAGACGCTGCTGTGCCTGTCTTTTCATTTACTTGCCGAGAACCTCTGTGAGGTTGTCGGTCCTTAATTTTACGGATAAGGAAACTGATGCTCGGAGTTGTGAGCTTGGCCAAAGTCACCCAGCTGGTAAGTAAGCCAGGCCTCGTACCCACTTCTCTTCAAGATCCATGTCCTTTTGCTTAACTCCAAAGCAAATATTTAAATAAAAAAAAAAAATCTGCCCCTGCCCATGGAGAGAATGCCAGAGCTCCCACGTCGGGCACCTTCGTGCGTGACCTGCACAGGTGCGCGGGGCACGGCGAGGCGGGCGCTCGCCGGCGGCGATGAATCAGATGCCACTGTCAGTTCGCTCTTTAACGTTCTTGAGAATACACGAGATTTATCACGGAGGAATTGTAGAATAATGGCCCTGTGCGAAAACAAAGCCCTCCGGGGAGATGTACTACATCATTTGGATTTAGCGCTGCCATCTGCTTAATAGCGCTGCGGAGAGACCGGCGAGGCTTGGGATCAGCCATTCGGAGCGATGACAGATGCTGCGCCGAGCGAGCAGACCAGGGAAAGCGGTTCGTTGCTAAAATGCGCATCGTG